TCGGTGGCTTCACCCCAGCTACGTGTGACCTACAGCACAAGACAAGATGTAGCTCACCTAAAAGGGTGACTGCCAGCATCTGGAAGATGTGCGTTTGTGGAGGAGAAATTAGATCGGGGCACAAACCCTACTGCTTTCTGCACATCTTGGCTCTACATTCCCTCTATGTTTCTGAAAGAGAATATGAGGGAGAAAGCAATGAGGGTTTAAATGAGAACTACTCCCATGTAAATATTGTGCTGCTTCCAAGCGCCAGCCCAAAAGCGAAGCCTTGCAGCTCCCTCTGGGTGGCAGGACTCGCTGAAGCCAAAGATAACTTCTTACCTTTTATTTACTTTTATGGCCTTATGTGCTAGAAGTGCACGTGGTCGAGGTCTGCAGCAAGATCTGAAAGCTCTTTGAGTTTCTAAGGCTTGGGCACCTCATAGAGCTTTTCTTAGCAGAACTTAGCAATATGAATTAATCCTGGACACCCGAGTGGTGTAAGGCACCACATGCCACCAGGCCATTTTAAGTCACGTTGAAGTTAATGAAAAGACTCCCACAGACTTCAGTGGGCAACACATCAAACCATCCAGCACGGCAGAGACGAAGTCTCAGCCACGTGCTTCCTGCCCTTGGTTTTCAAACATCTCTATTGTGCTGTCCCTATTGAGCAATTAAAAAATGCTTTCTCACTGGCTGGAGGAACTGAATAAAAATCGGATCTGAAAACAGAGCCACAATGTAAATCCCGGTGCGATGCGCAGAAGAGGGAAAGCAAATCTGTGTTCATAATCTAAACAGTCAGACCTAGGTTGAAACATCATTATTTTGGAGATGTCTCAACTCCGACTTGGTCTTACTTACCGAGAAGTTTCGGTAGTAAGAAAATCTTACTGGCTAATTGAGCTCAAATGGATTACATGGGGGAGGGGGACGAAGTAGAAATGCTATTTTCTTACTAGGATCAGTACTGAACTTAGAAACAATTTGGAATTAAACTGGAATTAAATTTTAGAGGCAAATAGGCCTCTAAATAGGTTTCGGTGATGGTTCTTTTTTTTTTTTCTGAAAGGGCGAGGATTGATTTTTCCTGTAGGCCCTTTGCAGGGAAAGAGGTAGCTCATGTTCTGTATCCTCATAGTTTATTACCAATGAAATGTAGTTTTGTAGCCACAGGGCTAGTTAGGCACCTCAATTGAAACATACAGCTATGGGGGTTTGTGTGCTGGTTTTAATCCGGACTTTCAGAGTTTTCCTATTTCTTCGTATAGGCAAGAAGCATAGACGAGAAGTCAGACTTGAATATCCAGTTCCAGGCTGCATTTAGGGAAAAGTCATGGGAAGAACAAAAACCCAGCATACTTTTCTCAGTAAATCACCCTGGGGTGAGACCCTCATAAGAGGTGGTTTTTCAGAGCAAAACTCCTTTTGAAATGTAAGGCCTGAGGCTCATTACAGATAGGCACAAAAGCACTTCCTTCCTGCAGATGGACTCAGAGTTATGATCAAGAGGGGTTTTTTTGTTTAACACTGTCATTTCAAGAATCGTGAAGCTCTCCAAGCACACACGTAGCCTGGTGCTGATGCTCCAGGTAGAAGCAAGATGCTGAACTCCAGAAGCAGATTCCTCTGTACTTTCATGACCTCAACTCCCACCATGTGTGTCTCAGGCACTACTTTATTATTTCGATACAATTGTGGTGTTTGAAGAGAGGCTGCGGCCTGGGTGACCGGGGGTGTCTTTTCTTACACTTCCAATTGTGACTGCTTGCTTTTCAAATACTGGGTGTGCTGGATTTGGGTGTGCTGGATTTGGCTGGGGTAGAGTTAACTCTCTTCACAGTGGCTGATATGGGGCTGTGTTTTGGATTTGTGCTGAACACAGGGTAGATAAGATAGAGATGTTTTTGTTATTGCTGAGCAGGGCTTACGCAGAGCCAAGGCCTTTTCTGCTTCTCATACTGCCATGCTGGCAGGGGGGGGGCTGGAAATTCATGGGATGGTGGGAGAAGACACAGCCAGGACAGGTGACCCAAACTGACCAAAGGGATATTCCAGACCATATGACATCATGCTCAGCATATAAAGTGGGGGGAAGAACGAGGAAAGGGGGGCATTTGGAGTTAAGGTGTTTGTCTTCCCAAGTAACTGTTAACGCGTGATGGGCTCTGCTCTCCTGGAGATGGCTGAACACCTGCCTGCCCATGGGAAGCAGTGAATCAATTCCCTGTTTTGCTTTGCTTGTGTGCATGGCTTTTGCTTTCCCTATTAAACTAAACTCAACCCATGAGTTTTCTGGCTTTTACCCTTTCAGTTCTGTCCCCAGTCCTGCTGGTGAGGCAATGAGTGAGTGGCTGTGTGGGACATAGGTGCTGGTTGGGGTAATACCACAACACCAGATTAGTGGGAGTCCTGCAACAGTCTTTCAAAACAGATTTGAAAAATTTCCAAAATTTTTTATATGTATAGTGGATAAATGACTGCAGATTTTTGTATTTTTCAGGAATCTTCCAATTGACAGAATTTTGCATGTAATTAAGGACTGCATATTCAATACCATTTCTCTTTTTTTGCCACTTCTGCCTATCTATTGATTCTGTTAAGGGCTCCTTTTTCAGGTTCAGGGAAAACAGAGGCTTTTTTTCTTCTGTGTATATGCATGTGTCTTTTACATTGCCTTGAAAAAGTACTGTTGTTGTGAGTATATTTAATGGCTCTTCCCAAAGAGATCTGGAAGGTTAGACAGCAGATCCAATACTCCTGTTATTAACTGCTGCAGAAGGTATCACAGGAGAAATGACAGCAAAAAGGGAATTACTTTCCTTGTTACCAATGAGCAGGGGTGAAAGCTGGGATTTATAGAAATCCCTTGAAAATTTCACTGACTCCTTCTGCAACAGGATTTAAACTCTGCTTCTGATCCTAGTCCTCTGAAGGACAAAACTCTTGAGAAAACCTTTCACATGAACACGATAAACTGTTTGCTTTGCCACATTACAGAAATGGCTTTTTTTTTTTTGTCAATACTGCATTTGCAAACTCTTGAGGAAAAGTTGTGGTGCATACAGGGTGTCAAGTGCTACATGAGCTAATATTAATGTCTGCTGTCCCTTAGTCTTGCTACTCAGATGTTTTTCCTGCTCTTTGTGTAACATCTGTCATTGGCTTCCACTGCATTGTTTTTGAGAACAGTAATGAGAGCAACAAAGGTGGTTTTTCTTTTTCCTTAGCATTTTTGAGTGAGGCCTGCTGTGTTTCTGCAATTTGCATTTTCATTACAAGTATTTAAGAGCCATAACTTTTCACATCAGACAACTTGGCATGCGCTTTGAAAAGAAACATGTTATTCTAAAGCAGAAAACTAGATTAGAAATTTGCTTTTGCAGATAGAAACCCAAGTCCTGTCAGCTCGTCTAATCCAGTTCCTTGGCAGTGATGCAGGACAGCTTTCTGCACGGCATCCTGCACGGCTGCCTCTGCCAGACGTACCCGTCTGGGCTGCTGCGCTTTCCAGTGCAGCTCACGGAGCGAGCGTGGGGCCCGGGCGATTGATCTGTGAACAAGCTGGCACGTCTCACCCTGTAACGCTCCACTGTAGCATGGAAAAGCGTCCTACACGAGTTCAGTTTGGAAAGGTCATCCTCTATTTCACAGTGTCCATTTTAAAAAAATAACCTGAAAGAGGAGTGAAGGGTTTTTGGTTTGTTTTTTTTTTTGAAGTGCGTTTAGCTGGCTAACACAGCAGGCATGCAGAACATAAGCTACCCAACCAAGTATGAAACAAATGCTAGAATTAATTGCTTAATTCTCTCTGTGTTAGGATAAAGCATTTGGTTTTAAAATGTCTTCAGTGAAGAACTGATGAATATGGGAAACATCTACTGTTGCCTTGTAGTAAATTGAAACACAAGTTCAAGTGTAGATTGGTTGGGATGATAGCCAAAGGCAAGCAGTCCTTCCACTTCTTTTGTGAGACAATCTAGTTTGTGTGTACAAGGTTGACCCAGTAAACACCTTAAATAATTAGCATTTCTGGAAAGCCAGGTTTTGTTCAACTTCTTTGTAGTTCTATGGAAAAGAATCCACAGAGATATTTCTTACCCTGCAGCCAATATGTGAATGCCAAAAGTTAGGTGCACCAAGGAGTAACAGGCTGCAAGCTAAGGGATTACCACCTTTCCGAGCCCATTCTCTACAAGGCTGCCGTAACGGATGAGCTAACGCTGCATTTGCACAGAATCCTGAGCATGCACAGGTGTACCAAAGGGCCTCCTTCACTTTCAGGTAAGGTGGGTGTGTGTGCCTGTGCACACATCACCCAGAACGCTGCATTTTCTGCATGTCAGAGAGTGAAACGTGCTCCAACTTACAAGATGATAGTGCAACAGGAAGGCGAGACCCTTTGGCAGTCAGTGCCTGCCTCAGTGTAGGTTACCTTCCCAAGGCCTGCAGGTACAGCTGGTACTCCCTGTTTCATGCCACCAGGAGAGCACAGAGCTCTCTCGGTTTGGCCAGGCAGTGCCGCGCCACACGCGCAGAACAACGTGAAGTCAGTGAAATGACTAACAAGTGGAAAGCCTGCGTATGTACCAGCTACAGAGGGGTGCAGGTGCTTGGCAGGATCAGGACTTTGATCCTGTTCACACCAGCATGCGTAAATTCTCACATCCAGTGCTTTCCATGGGAACACTCACACATGTTTTACCTCAGCAAAGGCACTGCACCATCTGATTCACTGGTTTTTCAGATACAGCAGCCCCAGTGTTTTGTAAGGATTGGGGTAGAGACCACAAGTTGACTTTAAATGCGGTGGAAAGTGTACTCTGCTGGCTCCAGCAGCTTTCCAGAGTAATGCCTCACTCTTATCAAACAAGCTCACCCACTTCTGTGTCACTGGAACTTGAGTTCAGTCCCACATTTCTAACCCTTGCCTGCCTAGTGCAGGACACTGAACTGGGTACTTAGCAGTATCCCTCACCTCAGAAAAACCAGCACGACCAAAGGGCAAGATCCACTGAAGAGTATGCTTAACTTTATCCAGAAACTCTATGAAGGTTACAAGGTAAGACCTCCTTTATTTCAACACTGTAATGAAATATAATAATTTTTCTACAGGAACAAACATTTATTTTTACTGGCAGAAGCATCTAAAAGTTCACAAAACAACTCCAAACACGGATTTAAAAAGAAGCATCCAAACTTTTAATCTCCAAATCTCGGTTAAGTGGACTTCATCTTTCCTTTGTTTCCTTGAAAGACGGTAGTGGCTCGGGGCAGTATTTTATCCAGAAGATAAACATCTCTCGATGGTTGCACTACAGTTGGCTTTCATCCTTTACTGCCTGAAGTCCAGTTTCAAGTTTAGAATTGGAGATACTGTTCCACATGGCTGGCAGCATAGTACTTTTTCTATCTTATTTCTCCAGGGGTGCATAATTCAAAAGCTTCTCAATCAGATCCACATGGGCAAGGAGCATTCTGCGGCAGCAGTATCTCTTCAAACCAAGGGCATCCAGGGCATCTCTATCAATGAACAACAATTAAAAAAAATAATGGATGAAGTGAGTCAGAACCACTTGTAAGCGTTTCCTAAGCAACGCACTGATTACTTTGAGCTCAGTCATAAAGGAAAATTTGTTTGCAGTTCAAAGTAAGACACAGAAATTCAGCATGTGCTGTTAATGTTCTTTTCCATTTACTGTCGACAGGGTGTCTGCCTGTTCTCTGCCCTGCCACAGCACATGACCTGCTGCCAGAGATGGTGTCCAGCTGACACAACAACTGAACTTTCAGAGGGCACTGTTACAACCTGTTTCTGTAAACTGAGCATGCTACTTGCCTATTTCACAAGATAAATTTGTAATCCAGGCCACGCTAAAAAGGTGAGATATACAGAAACTAAACTCAAAATGCAAACTCCCCCACACAAGGATTCTGATTCTGAGAAAGGCTAAATTCCTTTCCAGTTCCCATACAAGGCAGCATTCAGTTATACAACCTGCTCCCCACAAATAAGTACCTGCTGGCTCATCAACAAGAAGTCTGTGTTTTACAGGCTTTCCACTTAATTCCTTCTAAGTGACTGCTCCAGATTCTTATCGTTGGGTAGAGGATGTGTGAGTCATCCTAGCCTGAACCACTGCACGTGTCTTCCATGGATATCGCTATCAGATCTCTTAAAGATAAGTGACAACACCCAAGCTCTTTTAACTCCAATCTATTAACCATAAAGCCAGTCTGGTACTACTTCAGAATTTGACATTCGTGACATACGACTGATCTCAGGTCTTTAGATTGACACGATGCAGTGCAATAATAATGCATTTGCTTAAAAGAAATGTAATTTCCCAAAACCTGTAATTCTCCTGTAGGAAGAAGCTGATGGATACTTTTCTAAAATACAAATGGCTGAAAGGAGGCCTCTGGATAAGCTAGAAAGAGGTTGTTTGGCCTCAAGCAGTACAGTCTTTAATGCAGGAGTCAAACTGCAGCAACTTCTCTGGTATCAGTTAGTCCCTGCTGATACTGTGCCTATCCACAGTTCTTCAGGGGCATAAATAGGGCTGTTCATTTTAGGACTAGCACCTGCAAAAGTTGTTTAAGAGAAGTATATGAACACTGTGGGTTTTTTCAAAAGAATGCTTATAAATAACATCACATGATATCTAAACTTTCCAAAACACTTGAGAACAAAAGCATCTGATGTCTGTTGACATTTAAGTTTTAAGAGCTATCTGGAAAGTTCTGAACTTCTGAATGCAGTTAATAGAGATGAAAAACACCAACATTAATCAGAATTCCAGAAGTCATCCTATACATTTTAACCAAGGCAACTTTAGCTGTATTTCCCTTTTCCTCCAGCTTCCAAAGACTTGTGAAAAAAAGAACACTTTTAAGGGACAAACAGGAAGTTGTGGGTGTCTTTTTTAACTACTAATTTGTTAGACAAGTTTTTCCATTTTTTCCATCCATTTCTTAAGCCACCATTGATTCCAATACTGCACTGGAAGATTTTAACTGTTTGATATCTGAAAATGCTGCTTCTTACAATACCCTAACTGTATGAGCTTGAACAAGCACCACAGAATCACGAGTGACCACAGCAATTGTTTTCAAGTGAGCATTTGTCAATGACAATATACAACTTCCTGTCCTGTACAAAAGCAGAGAAATAATGAAGACAGGGAAAATATTAAAATGCAATGCCTAGACAATAAGTCAGAAGCACTATCAGAATAGCTCTGATAAATTTCAGTATTAGTGAAAAACGATTAGGACCCTGAACTATTGTAATGTTTTTAACTCCGTAAATGAAAGAATAAAAAATTTGTAGGAACTTTACAGATACCTTTCATTTAGCAGCTGCAAAATTCTACTCTGCTACATTTGACAAGTTCTGAGATGTAAATGCTCTGTAAAAAGGCTGCTCACAGAAGTAATGAGATTTAGAAAAAGTACCAAAAGATTTTCAGTGGACAGTTTTTAATGGAGCTGATAAATGGTGGGGGGACAGGATATCCTTCCTGTGCAAACTCCACATCAAAGAATAAGCACAGCGAATAACCACAACTTTCTACCACTTTAGATGAGGCTCAAAAAGCAAAGCTTTCCTTGACAAAATAGTATCCTATACCATAGGAATGTTTTCAGTTTTACTTTCGAGAAAAGGCAGTGCTTGTTGCTGATACATGTCCTTCCCATAGTTTTTTTAAATGGACTTACCTGTATGAACTATTAGGATCTGTAACCATTTGAATGCAAAGCAAATACTACTTTCTACTTAACAGTTTCAATGTAATTTCTAACTTCATTTTCACTCCTTTGAATAGCCAACATCCATGGATTTTTTTTCTTTTTCTTCATACTTAAACTCGATGACAACATAAGTATTTCTCAAGAATTTCCTTCTCACAGCTTCTGCGGTAGTCTGACCATAGTTAGACCCTCCTGGAACTATTAACAGAACTCTAGCTACACAAAACACGGACGGACTTCTTAAAACAGAAACCTTAGGACTATCGATCAGGTACTTAGAGCTTCCCCTTCCCCCAGCAAACCAGCGCTTATAAATAAGGTTAGCAATTCCGGGTAGCCAATATGAAATGTTTCTAAAAAAAAAACAAAAACTAAAAGGGGTACACTTTGTCAACAGTGCTAGTTATTTCTCGCATTTGTAACTTGTTCTTTTCTCTCCCTTTAAAAACCACCACCACGTTGGTGTCAGAGCGGAGTGTATGGAAGGGGAAGGGAAGAAACAAGCAGGACGGAATTACACGTTTGAGAATGTTTTGGGTACAAAGGCTGTGACCTGGCAACTTCCATACTACTGCCCTGAAAGATTCAGTGGGGAAACTAGTACTTTCTTGCCTATTACGATTTCTAAGCTCTGGGTAAATAGCCTCAGTTAAATGTATACCTGTGGTTTTCAGCCTCTCTACAGCTACTCTGTAATGCCACGATCGTGCACTTAACGCATCTGACCCTGCCTTGGCAGCGGGGTTGGAACCAGATGATCTCCAGAGGACATAATTCTGTGATTTTACGCACTGTACAATCGCACCTAAAGCGTGAGTCAAAGAACACACCGACAAACACCCACCCTTCCGTGTATTCCGCCTGCAGAAGGCCAAGGTAGGCTTCCCACTTGTTCCCGACTATTTTGCCGCACGTGAAGCACCTGACCGGGATGATCATTTCTGCGCTGCAGCTGTGAGGACACAAACAGGGCATCAAACTCCCGCCCGGCGCCCGCACACCGCGCTCGGACACACCGCGGGCAGGGCCGGGTACGCACAGGCCCGGGGGCGGCCGGAGGAGCCCGGAATCGAGGGCTCCCCGGAGGAGAGCGGCCCGTCCTTCCCTCCCACCTGCCCGCAGATTCCCCGATCCCGCCCGGTCATTCCCGGGAAACCCCCGGCCCTTCCGAACGCTTCCCACCGCGCGGCTCCTCCGCTCCCGATGGCCGCCGGAGCGCTACCACCGCGACACGCGGGGAGAACTGTGCCGCCGCCGGGCGGGCCGGCACGGCGGGCGGGCGGGTAGAGCGGCCCGGCTCCCCCCCTAGTGATACCCGATGGTATCGGCCCAGGGTACGGCGTCCCCGGCTGCCCAAGAGACGGCGCTCGCGCGCTCGCGCACTCGCGCGCGGGGGGGCGGTGTCGCGGCGGCGCCGGGCGCGCGGCGCGGTGAGTGGCAGCCGGGGCGCCCCGAGCGCTGAGCGGCCGCTCCGCCACCGCCCCCGCGCCGCCCCCGCCCCGCGCCACTTGTTGCGTTGCGAGAAGGGCTGCGGTGGCGGTGAGACTTCGCATCCCGTCCTGCCTGAGGTACTGCAGCCGTCCCGGGCGGGAAGCGCAACTGGTGGCTGCTGCAGCACGGCACCCGCGAGCCCTGTCCGGCGGAGCGGTGAGTGGGTATCCCGGCATTCAGGGCATTCCCGTCGGAAGGGTGGGTAGGTGGGCATCCCGGCGGCCCCGGCATCCTGGTGGAGGGGGGGGGGGGGGATACCGGCGGGCAGGGCTGCTGGACGGAGCCAGGGTGCCCCGCGCAGCCCCCGCCGCTCCACCGCGGTGTCCCCGCGGCTGCAGAGCCGGTCCGACCCCGGCTGAGGGGAGGCCGGCAGGGGCAGGGAGAGAGGGGGCCGTGGGACCCGCCGTGGTCGCTGTGTTGCGACGCTGTCGGAGCGGCGCCGCGGCCGCTCGGGGCTATTTCCCCGCGGTTTTGGGGCTCTCTCGGGGCCGTTTCCCCGCGGTGTCGGGGCTCCCTCGGGCGGGAGGCGGCGGCACAGCCCGCTCCGGCTCCCGCTCCCGGGGGTGGTGGCTGTTCCACGGCTCCCGCAGCCCGGACAGGCGGTGCCCCTCTGAAGGCACTCGCGCCCTCCAGCCCCGGCCAAGTTGTGGGCTCTGTGGTGGCTGCGGGTTTGCCGAGAGTTTTCAAACTCCGGGGCCAGATGGGACTCGGCGCCGTCCCGTTAACTCGCGGTGCTGCTCCGCCCTGCCGTGACCCGTGCGCGGCTGGAATACGCACGGAGCGGTTCCGCAGCGTCGTGCGCTGCCCTCGGGGCACCGCCGGCTGTGCGGGGCAGCGCCGCGGGCACAGCCCGCACCCACAGGAGCCTTCCGCTGGTGTCCGAGAGCCGGGGAAGCTCCCTGGGCTCGGGAGGCGAAGCGTGGCTGCGGGCAACGCGGCCGATCCCCTTGGGCACCCCGCGCCGGGGAGGTTTGGTAGCAGAGGATAATGCGTCTCGAAACTGCTTACTTGTGTTTCGTTAATCTAAGGATTGGGGAAGCATTAGGCACGGGCTGTGTGCGCTTAGCAGAGGGAAGCATGCTGTGATGGGTGCAAACTTTAGGGACAGGAACTACTGTTCTGGAGACTGGGATGAAGGATGCCTCTGTCAGTCCGTATTGCTCTCTTGTTTCAGCATTAGTGTTATGCTAATTGTCCTAGGGAGAGCAGAAATTCTTCCGAAGTGTTTTATTTTCCTGCTAAAGTATGTGTGAGTTGATACAGTGCACAGCGCAGAGCCATTACTGTCAGGCATATAAATGTGTCTTAATGCACAGCTTATGTTAATACGTCTTTCGTGACTATTTTTTGAACGACTGGATTATTGACCCTCTGCATAGAAATGCCAGACCTAACATGAACCGTAAAAGAGCAAATAGTTTTGTTTTAACAAATAAGGGTTTGTGGTTGTTTGAAAGCATTTTTACAATAGTGTTGCGAGTGAAAAGACAGTAATTTTTGCAGTCCCAGGGACAATTATACACAGTTGTGAATGGAGCAAATTGACTTGGCATGGAGTGTAGACGAACCTCCTGCAACCTCTAGATTATTATCATTATTGTTATTGTAGGCCAGCGGGAGCCAAACTGTGTCTTTTCTTTTTCTCCTTTGATTTCTTTTTGGGGGGGGGGGGCTGAGAATTTGAAGATTGTGTTTTTATGCATTTTCAGCACTAGGGCTCCAAAGTAATTTTCTTACTGAAGTGCGTGGTGAAAAGCATTTGTGTTTGGAGATGGAAATTTGCAATTGGGAGTGAGAAAGAAGGGCTGTCGCCAGGGTTTCATGGCAAAGCCACATCATTAGATGTAGGTTAGCATGTTATAGCTGCCTTGTAGAAATGTGCTTGCTTATTTCTTAGAAACAAAACTAAATTTTAACTTTCAGACCTAGTTCATGTATATGACTTTGCTTACTGTCTTTTTTTCAAATAAAAATTTACTCAGCTTATTCATACACTATAAGTTTGTCACGTCTTTTCTGGATAACCTGCTTTGACTGGGTGATGGACTTAGCGAACTAATAGTATTTTATGGCTGTAGCTTCTTTGATCCTAGGAATTGTAAGGATTTTTATGATCTATGACCTGCAGAGACTGCTGCATACTGAGAACATTCTCTGCTTAACTTCATGTATCCTCTACTTAATCTGACCATTTGCCAAACCACAGAAGTCTGTTTAAAAGAGATGAGGCGGCATGGGGGGAGTGTGCACGTGACTATTTGGAATCAGAGTCGGTTATTAATTGCCTGTAGCTCACACTGATTAGGGGAACTCTGCAGTGTGAGCCAGTTGTGGCATTGTCACCTTTCAACTCTTGTTCAGGTGAGCTGGGTACTGTTGACACTTACCTGTTGAAGTCTAGTATTTAGTCAAATTTGGTATCTTCAAGCATCTTTCTGAAGAGGGCTGGAAGAGCTGGAGAATTAGATCTCTTTAAGCGTCCTTGGAAGAAGAATTGGAGTCCTGTGTCCTAGAGCTAATCCTAGAACTACAAGGCTTTCTCACAGTAAGTTCTTGTCACATTTCTGGTCTCTTGCTACCTTCAACAAGCAGCAGTTACCAAACTGCTGATTCTTGGGGTCTTCAGGCAGCCTTCTGGTCAGGAATCACACTGGGGCTCTTCTCAGCATTAAGTGGAAGAGACTGCCCTAGAACTAATCAAGTTGAAGTAAGCTTGAGAACTGTGGGCTGCCTTTCTGATGTGTAGCTGGAGCAGCTTCTGTCACGTGAAGCTTTGTTGTGGGGCTTTGCAGGTAATACATCCCACTTCTTGGTTAATGCAGGGCAGGACTTCCTGTGATCTGAACAGCTTCTGAAAGCTGTCAGTGCTCTGTCCCACCGTCACTGTTGGGCTGAGGCTTCTTCTTGGCATTTTTGGTGGATTTAGACCTACAAAATGCAGCGAGACATGACCACTCCATGGCACTGTTAGGGATGCGTGCTGAAATACTAGGCTGGTGACTAAGGGGTAGATCCTGCTTCCTGTTCTCCCACACACAAAATGTAAGGGAAAATATTGCTGCTTGTTTGAAAAACAGACAAAAATAAAGTCAGTTAAGTGACCTGACTGACTGAACTACTCTTAAAATACTTTTATAGCTAGAGTGGCCATATGACCTCGTGCAGCTCATGTTGGCAGATTGTGTCTTTTGTGACCTTGTCTCTGTAATTATGGCTCTAGGAAAGAGTTGTAGGATCTCTGCACTTGTACTGGTAGCGTGAGAAGCCAGTGGCTGAGAATTTTTTTTACTTTGTAGGTTGCAGTAAGTCAAGTTTAGGTGTGCATCCTTATGAGTTTGGAAAACTTTCACCTTTCACTACTTTTCACCTTCTGTCAGTGTTCCCCTTCTTCTGACTTTGCTTATTCTGCATACTTGTAGATAATCACCAGAACTGAAGACATGGGTCATTAGGGTCTGACTTGCCAGTTAGGTAGCAGTTGTATTCAAGGGTAGTGAATAGTTGTTTAAATTCAGGGTTTCTTAGAAGAACTTTTCACTGAAGGATTGTTGAGTTACTATTGATCATGATTTGCAACCTTCTATAAAACTGTGGGTAGCCTTGTTGGCCCTGTTTGGAGTTAAAAGCTCTGTTTCCTATTACTTCCTGTGGTCATTTAGAGAAGGATCTCTTTTCACTCCATCTCCAGCTAACACCCCAGAATCCCGTAGGTGGTTGCAAAAGTACCATATTCAGTGTTTTACTCCTCAGATCTCAACAGAGCCAGAGAGGGAAGAACTTTAAGACAAAAAGACTTGAATGAATCTTGAAATGAGTGCTTAAATTGGACATTAGTCAGGAACTGAAACGTGACATGGAAAGCTTAACAAATATGTAGCTCTAGAGAGCCAGAGCAGAGGCGAAGATTGAAAAACAAACAAATATGTAAGATGAAGCTTGGCTGCTCTTTTCTCAGGCACATTTTCCACTTGCAAGGTTATTAAATCCTGCAGATTTACTCTTGGGCTTTCTTTAGTCTTGGTTAACTACTCAGAAGTGTGACATTCATCCTGTTCCACAAAAGGGAAAGAAAAGTGGCTCCCTCTGGAGCTAGCTAGTGTGACTTTGGAAGGATTTCCCTCCTTTCCCTTCTAAAGCATGAAGGCCTAAGGAGCAAAGAGTAAGCTGAATCTGGATTTGGGTTTGCCTTGATTTTTTTTTTTTTTTTTTTGAGTGGGTTGCAGTGTCCCCCTAGCTCCACAATGCAGTTGGGTTTAGTGATGTGATGGTAGGGAGGTGGAGAAAGCCAAGGAGAGGAAGAGATGAGGGAAAGAAGAAAGACTCATCTACTCTGTAGAGCTTTGCATTTTTAGTTGCCCTGCACGCTGTGTAATAGCTGCTCAGGCCCTTGGATTTAGTGAAACAAATAGAGAAGCTGCTAAGCAAGTAGAAATGAGGAGAAATCTCTCTAAGCTGGGGATGTGACTGCAGCTTCACTGTAATACCAGACACGCCTGATGCTGCTGATTTCATTAAAAGCAACATTCGGGGGCCTCAAAGCAGGTTTTAATACTTGCTATATGTTTTTTTAAATATGCTGACCTTATCTGGTAAGCCTGTAATATTTATTGCAATGAAGAACAGCTGCTGCATAAATACATATATAATATCAGTTGCCAATTTTGAAAGCTGTGCTGAGACTGTGACTTGTTTGAAGTGGGGTTGCTATTAAAAGGCAGGTGGCAAGATGTTTATTTTGCACCTTGTTAATTGCTTGTTTTTCCTGCCGTAATTGGCTTCCTAATGGGGGCAGAATGCACTTGGTTT